ATCAGGCTCACCGGCGAGCGGCGGAAGCGCGGCGGCCTGGCAGCTCCGGAGGCCCCTGCCTGCGGCCACTTCCTGGGAAGGATTATATTCTGGACCCGCTCGACTGGATTTTTTTTTTTTTTACCCCCTGGAGGAGCAGGTCTCACAAGTTGAGGTCAGGGCCGGAAGAGTTAAGGCTGGGGAGTCAGATGCAGGTGACAATCCCCCCCCCCCCCGAAAGTGTGTGACATTTGGGCAGGTTATATTGTGTTACCACCACCGCCATCCCAGGCGCCTCTGTAAAATGGAGCGTAGTGCCTCCCAGCAGGTGGTTGTGAAGCTTAAAGGAACATGTGGAACATGTGGCCGGCCCAGCACGTGAACCCTCGAATGTTACTGCCTGCCCCCCTCGGTTCTTCCTCCCGGAGGCCTGTGTTAGCCTGTGCACCCTTCCGACTCGGGAAGCCCATCCGTCAGTGTTTCAGAGGACTGAGAAGGAGAATCACACTTAATGCGATGGACTGTGTGATGAGGAACTCTCGGAACCGTATAAGTCCGTGGTTCTCAACCTGTGGGTCGCGACCCTCTCACAGGGGTCGCCTAAGACCATCGGAAAACATATATAATTACATGTTGTTTTTGTGATTAATCACTATGCTTTAATTATGTTCCATTTGTAACAATGAAATTGGGGGTCACCACAACATGAGGAACTGTATTAAAGGGTCGTGGCATTAGGAAGGTTGAGAACCACTGGAAGTGTTTCTAATCTGAATTTGTATCAAAATAACCAAGCACTCTTCGAGAGACAAAAATGATAACATTCAAGACACGGTGACAAGTGATAATCTGTTTTAGAGCCACCTAGACATGGAATCAGGAAGCTAATTTTAAAATTTATGATATAATCACTAATCCCTAGAAAATGTCTAGTTGTCAGCGTAAAAGTCTATCAAACTAAGACCAAACCCTAGTTGTCATATTTTATCAACTTTATCTCTGGGTGTTAATGTATACCTGGGACTTAAGTCAGCTCACCCTGGCATCTCCTTACGGAAATCATGTTCAAGCATTACTGTCCAGGGAAAACGTAGGGGAAAAGTTTAGTTTTCCCAGATGATGAATTTGAGAAATCCATGAATCATGATCCAAGCACATGGCTTGTTACATTCGAATGCCCCAGGGCATTTTGCTTTTCACTCCAGAGGAAGGCTGTGGTGGTATTCGGAACCGCTCAGGTGTCTGTGTGCGCTTGGTTGGACTGTGGCATGCTGGAAGGGGATGGTCGTAGTTCAGGCCACATGGGAGCCGTGGGTCTGTGCTGTGACTTCGGACAAAACCATTCTTTATTCCTGGCAGCCTTACAAAGCCGTGCCGTTGGTCATGATGGAGAAGTGGACAGGAGAGGTGTACCCTCAGGACAGATCTTTCACAACGATACCTCCAGTGCATTTCCCTGGAACTGTGGAACAGTAGTGTCATTGCATAGCAATGATGTTGTCGAATATCTGTTATATAACTCACGTTGAATTTTTACCATCTGGGTCAGCAACAATTTGAAATCCTCTGTAATTTGTAATTACTGGCAACTTTGTAGCAGGAGGAAGATAAGCTCTGTAGGACTACACCATTTAAACAGAATTTTGTGAAAAATTGAAGCCAGAAAATTAACCTGGCTCAGATCCATTCAGGTGTTAGGAAACAGGTAGGAAACACTTTCATAATTTGTCAGATAAATGGCACCTGCCAAATGTTCTAGTGGCCACTTCTATGTTTCCTGCTTCTTCCCTGACTTGTTAATAACTCCCAATCCTGAAAGCTACCACCCTTGCTGCGTAATTGTTCCAGGCCTTTTTCAGCACCTTAAATCAGACATCTAAAGCCATCTCTTTTTGCCAAACACAGTCATTGTCTTTTTTTTACATTTTGGAACCAACAAAATCATCAATCATAAGCAATTATTAGTCTCTGGTCTTCCAAAATTTTTCATTTCTAAAGTAGATTGATTACTATCAATCATAATTATTATATTCAGAGAAACTCTGGAGTTCAGTTTTAAGGAATAAGAATTGAAACTCTGACTGTGCCAAATCCCCCTGTGCATCTTTTAAAAGAAAATTCAGGGCCAGACTTTAATATATAGGATATGGATATGGTCTGATGTTGAATATTTAGATCTTGCATCTATAGATTACTATAATTTAAAGTAAGTTCTGTTTTATTATTTCCTGGCTAATTTTTACAAGACATCTTTATATTCATCAGACACCAATAGATGTTTTAGAGAAATTATTCTTGCCCTCAATGTTAACAGTTTAAGTTCAATGCCATTCACAATACTCACTTTATTGTAAATGAGTACCTTATGTCCCCAAATGTCTGACAAAGACTTCAGATGTCAGCAAGGGACAGACATGCCACCTGGCTTGGCAGCAGACCTCTGAGGACATTTCATTAATTTTATGCAGA